TACAAATATCTCGCCTTTATCCCTCTCCTCTGCCAGGTTCCACAAACAGGAATTGTCTCACCCACCACTGAAATGCAGCCTCCTCTGGGGTGGCATGCAGCAGTAATTGACTGACAAGCACACACACACACACACACACACACACTTTTGCAGAGGGAACTGAAGACTACCACTTCTGGCTGAAATTGTTGGCAAGCTTTTAGGGAGGCAGATGCCCAAAGTGGAATTTAGCCAGGGCATGGAAGTTAACATCCTGTAACTCTTGTAGAAGAGGGTCCCGGTCCAGGACTGTGTAAATAGCTATGAATGGTCAGGGTGGCTGGCTACCTACAAAGACAGTGTTGCCTAGTGGATATAGCACAGGTCTAGGACCAATGTTACCTAGGTTCTAGTCCAGGACAGCTACTGGGTGATCTTGGGAAGTCATGTTACCTTGCTATGCCTCAGTTTCTCCAGCTGTAAAATGGGGATAGTAATAGCTCACCCATAAGAGGGGGGAGGGATAGCTCAGTGGTTGGAGCATTGGCCTACTAAACCCAGAGTTGTGAGTTCAATCCTTGAGGGGGCCATTTAGGGATCTGGGGCAAAATCAGTACTTGGTCCTGCTAGTGAAGGCAGGGGGCCGGACTCAATGACCTTTCAAGGTCCCTTCCAGTTCTAGGAGATGGGATATCTCCTATAATTATAACTGGTATGGGACAATTAATTAGTCCATATCTAGTAATTTGCTGTATAAGTGCACTTGTTTTTAAATCTCCCAGCCAAGTCCTAACCAAGCCCAATCTTCTTAGCTGGGGAAGGCTGCTCAAAATCCACATCTGACACGGACCCATTTGACTCACCCACATATTAAAACCCTCTGAGGTCAGCCTGAGTGTAAGCCATGAATGGAGATTCCTACAGCCAGAGGACCAGAGCCTCAGCAGGTGTAAATGGATCGAGCGCCACGGACTGCAGGGCTGCTAGGGTGATTTACGCCAGCTAGGCCCTCTGCTGATTTCCTGCAGCTGAGGATCGGGCCCTACAAGGTGAAAGCGGTTTCTCTAGCAGAGTCATTAAGGCCGGGGCTCTCCTTGCCGTCGCTGCTTTGAAAAATGACAGCTCCACCAGTCGCCCGAGAGAGCCGTAAAAACGCTCCGAGGAGTCTATAAACAACGGGAAGCCAAGCCCGTTGGGAGCGATTATTTCATAAACCGAGCGGCTCATACCCTCTGTGTCATAAATATCCCTTCACCGTGGCTGCATAAATAACCCCGAACGAGCAGCACAGTAAATAATCTTGGGACAATCATTCGTGCCAGGGAGCAGGCCTCGGCGCCCATAAAACACGCCTATGGGCACAGGCTCCCTCTCCCTATGGGGGCTTAGCTCCCTCTAGGAGGTGCTGAGGACCCATAACTCCAACGATGTCAATGCCCTGCTCGCACTAAAACAATCTGTCACTTGGGCAGCAAGGAACTGACCTGATGGATCTTGTTGCAAGCGCCTGCCGCTAGTGACTGACCGGAGACATCCAACCCACTGTGCTGTTCATGCCCTTCCTCCCACTGGCTGCAATGCACCTCACTGGCTGTTGCTGGCGTTCATGCGGCACTGCTCTGAGGAAGCTCGCAGCAGAGTCACGTTCGGTTTTCAGCCTAACAAAAACAGCGTAGTAGAGATGAGGTGCTGAAAGCGTCCATCATCCCAAAGTCAGTCCCCCCGCTCCTCCTTTCTGCTCTGCATGGTCACGGGCAATCTTCATCCACAAGCGTGCGCTGTTAAAAACCGTCTGGGAAGGGAGGGGTGGGAGAGGGAGGTGGCATAAGCACCAGGGAAGGCAGGATGGGGCCTGACTCGTGCGGTTTGCACCGTTGCGGTTGGCAGTGCTGAAACTGCCCCCTCACCCGCGTGGAGACCCAAACGCACCAGCCCGACTGCAGCTGGGCACGGGAGTTACTGGGCTAAGTACGGGGCTAGCTGGGTGGAATTCTACAGCCAGCAATATACAGGAGGCCAGATGAGATGACCTAATGCTCCCTTCTGGCCTTCAAATCCATGCCACAGTGCCATGCTGTACATATGAAATCTGATCCCAAAGCAGCCCGTTACCACCAGCATCCTCACCCCTGCACTCTGGGTAAGAGACTGATGGAGCTGTGCCATGGAAGAGCCCTGGGTGTGTCTAGCGCCCCCTGCAGGGCCCATTGGGGTAATGCAGCACCCACTACTCAGGGCAATAAAAACCCCACGGCATGGAGTCCTGGAGCCCAGGGCAACTGACTTGGACTGTGGGGCTAGAAATCGCAGTGTAGCCATTCGGGCTGGAGTTCCAGCCCAAGCCCATATGCGATTACGTTTTTTCCCCCTCTTTTATTAAGAATGGGAATTTACTTTTCTGTCTGTCAGTGTCCAGCATTTGAATAATAATCACTTCCCATCCATCCAGCAGGTTTCCCTTCCTTAGCGTTCGGATATCGATGCCATTGCTTATCCAGGCAGTGACTCTTGCAGGAAACACGGCAGTCTGCCAATCCCGCACAAGGCCCCCTAGGAGTCTCTCTCCAGTAGCGTGTGCAAATGGCTGATGGGTGCAAAAAAACGGGGAAGGGTGCAGAGGCTCGTAAATCAAGGGGGTCTTCCTCATTCCGGGGGAATGGGGCTGCTCGAGATCCCGGCAAGGTCAGAAAGCCAACAGCTGCCCGCAGCAGCGTCACATGAGCTCGGCTCACGTGGAGCAGGGGGTTGCGTGCACATCTGTCAGCTGGGGCGAAGCAGCAGGGCTGGGGCTGGAAGGCTTTTGCTCTCAGCGATGGATTGCAGACATCTGCCCCTGTTTGCAGTGCTTTCTAGGGGGGCTTTTCATTGCTGGTTGTTTTGAAGTGGAAGTTTGCAGGGGAAAGAAAATGGAGAGGGACGAGTGGCTTGGGGGGAAGCCACAATGCAACTGGGGCCTGGGTTTATTCTGGTGGAGATCACTAGCTATGCTTAAGGTAGGTCTACACTGCAATCAAAGGGCTGCTGGCTGGCCCTTGTCAGCCCACTTGGACTCACAGGACTTGGGCTGCCGGGCTAAAAAGTGCAGTTAAAATTAAGTAAAATGTGTTTTTAGTGGAGTGAAAACCAATTGACTAAAATAGAGCAGCTAACGGCCATAACAGTGGCTGTGTCAGAAAGTGAACAGATTTTATTTATCTCTACTAAAGAGGGTACAAAGTATACACGTGTGTTTCTGATACCTGCGTTAAGGCTCCAAAACTGATAACTCAAGGTTTGGGATTGGGAATATCTTGCTGTATTGTTGCCTGATTGTTCTAAACTTACATATACATTTAAAATAGGGCTTTAAGTGGTGTTTGTATATATATTTTTTTGTTCTTTATATAGGAATTCAATACAGTGCTCCTGCCAGCTAATTTCTAAGTTGTTAGCTGCAAAAACACTTAAGAGTTCTCAGGTGCCTAAGTAGCCCCTGGAATCATAGTTAAAGTTGCACCGGCCCCCAAATGTGAACTGGCCCCCCCGGTTCCCGATGCTTCTATGGCAAACCAAGCAGACGAGAGCACTCTGAGGAGTGGACGTGCCTCTCACACGGAGCATGAAGCCAGAGGGACAGAGTCATTTGATCTGCTTTATTTTCAGAATATTAAAAGGGTTGCTCCCTGTTCGGGATGGGATGAAAGTGAAATAAAAAAGAAAAGAAAATGTTACGGTCTCTCTAACACAGTGCAGGAGAGAACACAGTCCTATCACCTCATCCCAATGCCCCAGGGATTGGCGTCCTGCTGCCTCCAAACGGGCACTTGACCACTGTGTGTCCTTATTTTGGGTGGCAGCAAAGGCGCTCTGAGGTAGCAGCGTTCCCAGGACTGTTGGTCCACAGTTGGTCGTCAATTCCCCCCCCCCGGGGAAAGGGGGCCAGGCGGGGGG